TAAAAAAAAAAAAAAGTGGCCATTCTGTTAAGCCAATCAAATCATTCGAGCATAGATTTGTTGTATCCCCCTCCCCCCCCACCCCCCTCTGAACTTTTATTCCCGATCTGCTAGACCAGAATTGGACTTTTTGTTTCTTAGCTCTGGATGTTTTTTTGAGCAGATTAATCCCGGTGATTAGTGAAATTTGTTTATCAATCTTCAGCGGCATTGTTGAAAACAAGGAGAACTCAGATTGTTTTCGAAAACAGCGTTTTTCACTGAACATGAGGCAGAAGCCATCTTTTTGAAGCTAAGTACAACAACTAAGTGGCATCCAATTCACTGGCTTGCCATCTTCTTTCTGGGCCCCGTTTTCCTTCTCTAGAAGCATAGTTTCAAATGAAAGAAGACAACCTAAATAACAAGAGACCACTGTATAGGCCGAGCAGCGTTTCGGTGCGTCTACACCTCCAAATGGAGGTAACGACATTGTGACACTCAGAAGCAAAGATCACTGGTCCTAACAACCCCAAGAACATCGTACAACCACCACCGTGTCGCCTAATACAGCGATTGAAAAAAGCGCTGAATGAACCCCAGTAGGGGTTTCTCTTCAAAGGGAAGCACCTAGATGTCGTGGAAGTCGAATATCCATGAGACAATAAAACATTATAAGCTCAAGGGGAGTTAGTGGCAAGTGGCGCTACGACGCGTGTAGCCCTGTGAAAAATCGAGGCACAAAATGGTTTTTCATGGGTCAGCCAGGTGATTGCTTGGTTTCGGAACCTACCGGAGAGCATGAAAGTATTGACTTTCGAGCAATTGCCATCCTCAACTCCTTGTATAATCTAAATACGGAATGGTACATACTACGATTTAAAAATGTTACTCAAATGTGTAGGCGCATTGCTAAGAAGTCTTTCAATGCTGTATAATTTTGGCTACAAATCCAGAGGACCAGTGGCTCTACGCTTTATTCCTTGTAATGTAACATTTGTAGAAGAGCAAATTTTTGGATTTAGAAGTATAATCAAGCAGGCGTGAATAGCTTTTGCCCAGCCTTTCTGGGGTAATTCTTCAGTCCGGCTTAATATGACCAGTTCTTTGCTGTCTTATTGGTGACTGGCAGACGTCTGAATGAGACTGATATTTCATGTGTTAGCATTCATATTTTCACAGCGAGCTCAATTATGTGGTTTCCTAGCACAACATTTGATTGATTACTAACATTATCAGTTCCAGCGCAATCATATGGCATAAGTTCGAGGAAAGGGGAATGAGTCCTCTCTCTTTCAAAATAATGACTAATGAAAGCGAATATTCTGGAAGAATTCGGTAAAAGAAGTGCCTGAGGTTCATGTTTTTGCGCTGTTAAACATCTTTTCCATGACCCCCTTGAAACGACGGTTTTGCCCTGCCAATATAAACTTAACGCCACTCAAATTAGTGACTGTCAACACGGTTCGACACAGACGGCTCTATACAGTTTGATCACATCCATGTAGTTTATATCGAATTACGTTCTCGAATTTCGCTTCCTTTACAAGCATGAGGGCTAAGTTATTACAGTTTTAACTTGCTGATAACCTTACTTCAGGGTTTGATTGCACTTGTTAATTTCTAAGCGGTCAACGCAAATTTTGAAGGGCAATGCCAGGAGTTGCCGGCTTCACGCAAGTGCAGAGGGAATCCAGAGCTCCGCGCTTCCGCAGCGAACGAAAGTTAGGGACTCCATCGTCAAGGAATCGAAGGCCACGTGGGTCTGATACGTCATACGATTTAGTGATGACCATTGGACCTGGGGCGACTGAATCTCTCAAGTTTGCAAACGAAAGCTGGGCTGGCTGCCACTTCGATGGTCTAAGAAAGATCTTAACTCTGCCTCGCGCACCTTGAGTGAAGACGATTCTCTGCATCACATTGGCTTACTACAAGGAGGAATCGGTTGCTGGCACCTATTTAAGCAAATCGGTGGTCGACGGGACGAGAGATGAGTAAGAGGTTGGATTAATTCAGATCGCATGTGAGTTTTAATGAAGACAAAGAGCAAGACCCTCTTTTAAATCTTCAATTCATTTTCAGAAAATCGTGGTATCTGGGGAACGCTGAAAATGTGATTTCCCTGTCAATCCCTCACACTTTCCTTCTAGTCAGCGACGATTTTCAGGATGATTGTGCGGGGGCCGCGTACGGTTTGACGGCAGAATAATTGGCAGGTAGCCAGCAAACTTTGCACAAGTCGGTGCCGTCATGCGCACCCTAATTCATAATTATACCAGACGTACAATACATTCGTATCGAGTCAGTATACTGGTAGGTGAGCAGTTTATTATGCTAATTTGCACACGAGGACAAATAGGCGCAGCGGCGGTGGCGGTGGCGTGAGATCTTTATAAGATTAACTCGCTAGGTGAGTGAATTGGTTCGAATCGAATACATCCGAATCCATTGATGCGATCATTCTGGTTTATCGGTTACCACTTTGTCAGAGAAGTCATACTATGAGAACGTCCTGTTCAATTCTATTCTGAGTTAGAGAGGGTCCAGCTTTTCCCGTAGCGGAAAATCACTTTGAATCAATGAGGGGTCCAGCTCTGGTCTTCACAAATTCTACTCGCTAAAGGTCGAAATAGCGGTTGCTGAACCCTCAAATGGTAGTTATGACTGCTCAGTGGAGGTTCCAATGTCAGGATACCCTCGACGATGCTCCACACCTTTATTCAGGTCTGGAATAATCTTCATAGAAGCTCATTAGCTATTCGATTGTTTGTGGGATCTGTTGATTGGAATTTCTGCCATCCAGCCACTACCCTTTTCCCAGTGTGTAGAATCCGGACTCTCAGCACTAGGACAGGGAAGGGGTAGGGGAAGTAGGGTGGGGAGGGGGGGGGGGGGGGGGNGGGGGGTGAACACTTTATTCATGCACTGTTGTTGATGATGTAAGTGAATGAATTGACGATGCATAATGTAACCCTATGCTTGGAAACCACCAAATGTGCTCCATATCCACCAGATCTTCTTCACAATAGTAGATAAAGTTCGGAGTTCATTGTGCACCCCCTGAATTCCAGGGTAATTTAGGCAGCCTCCTCAATTGGGTTTGATTTCCCCTAGCCATCACGCGGTAATTTCTACTTTGCATGGTTGACTAATCCCGTTGTTTCTTGGTTGAATCTACGATCGCTCGAAGGAATGCGAAAAACGAAAGGAATGCATGAAATGACAATGATGATGGAGAGTGCAGTTCAGAGACTTTAGGCATATCACCAGCGTATGCGGAACCGTCTAAAGAGATAGTGATGCACTTGCCAATAGACTTCCTACACAGACACAACCTAATGAGGAGGGCTACGTTCTAGCTTATCTAGTTTTTGATGACAATGTGATGTAGTTTGTCTTGAACGATGTGAAATCCAATATTCGAGATCTGTTCTAGGAGGCCCCTCACAGCTAGAAAGAAAATTGCTCTGAAGTCTGTTTCGGGAAATTCGTTAAGTTCAAAAGCCTATGGCATCAATCAATCCTGTCAGGGAGATGCGCCCCATCATTCGAATTCCATTCAGAATCAAAGTTGCAATTTAATGCGTGTGTGGTCTATACATATATTGACTTACGGTGAGTAGCCGATGTACGAGTCAGTGTTTTTATCCCCCCAGATGAATCTGTACCAATGAACCACCCTGGAGGGATGAGGGCTTGTCGGCCTGAGAGAATCCTGAGAATGTCCGGGATCGGATCCCCAAACCAAGCCTGTGCTATAATGCGCCACTTGACACTTTCGCCCTAAAAAATTTATATACTAATCAAAACAGCGATTCAAGCCCAGACTGATTCTAGCAAGCCATACGTATGTACAGCCATATACGGGCTGCACATCCATTTCTTCCCCTCCATCACCTTAAGAAAGAATTGACTACGTTGCCAATCGTAGCAGGATCAGGCTCTNCTGAACCTTGAAGCTTATCCCCTATATTGGGTTAATTCAGCAATTGGAGACTTTACTAGAAATTTTGAACGATTGCTTATATTTGTAAAAGGGAAAGATACAATGTTGTGTAATTTCATTGGTCCCTGCTAAGGTTTGTTCTCCTGAAATTACCACGTTGCCAGCCGCGTACATACAAAAACATAATTACAGCCGTTGCTCACGACTGGTTCCGTCTTTTGTGTGATGAATTGAAATCGTATTCTTTTGTGATGAATCACAGAATTCAAGGCTGATACGGTAACAAGTGAATCTCAGCTATAGATTGCTAATCAACTGGAAGCCGATATCTCCGTTTCTCTCACCTCAAAAAATCCCCTAGCAAAGTGATAGTTGTGTATCCCACCTTGAGAGAGGACAAGGAGGCATTTATCGCATTGCGAGAAGTATTCATCTACAAAGCTGCCTGCTCTGAAGTGAATAGAAAGGGGCTGAGTCTCGGAAGTGTAAGGGTTAAAGAGCACGGTGCCCGGAAAGCACAGGTGCGGGTTCGAGTTCCGTCCGAGGTCTACGTTCTGTCCACAAATCGCCATCCTTGTAATTTCTTTTTAAGTCGCCGTATGAAGCTATGTAAGATTCAAGTGTGTTTGGTCCACATAGGGTCCTGCATTTCGGGCTCACGATCAAGGCCTTTTCCAAGCCCTCAACTTTCATTGCACGAAGCGAAAAAGTAATGGAGCCCTATGATCCATTGAGTTCCGCTGTAATGACCCTCTTATTCACTCTTCATAAAGCATCGACGATACGTTTGATGACCACTTGCTAGCACGATTGAATGGTTACGACAATGCACCTTATAAATCCTTTCTCCAACTCCAAAATTGGAAAGACTGGCTAGTGTGATGGCACGAGGCCTTCACAGACGTTTCGAGCAATCTCATTATCATTATTCTGGATTATTTACAAATGGAAGGGAATATTAGAATCTCTTTATCAATATTTTGAACAGAAAACAGAAGATCACTATGAACAGTAGACAAAAAACATGCTCTCATAAATGCTGTGGCAAGACGAAGCTGAACAGTCAAATGTTGAACTGTAGGAGGTTCAATATTCATAGAAAAGCAGGAGGGACTAGCCAAATTAGGGCTCAAATCAGAGATTTAATCTTTTATCACAGAGACCGCTGTATTAAAAAAAAACAGTGGAATGAAGCTTAGAAAGAATTGTACAAAGAATGTCTGATGTGGTAATGCTAGGCCACTTAGGTGAGTGCGCAAGGATGCAGAGTCATGTCTGCATCTATAACCCGGGAGGCGCCTCACACCCGTGACATGCCATGGGTGGATTGAAAGGTTGGGTCGATGATTTCATTGAACGATTTGCATGCATATAGTCAAGTTATTATAGATCAGGTTGCCAGCAGCATCTCAACGTCAGTTACTGTACTTTGTCACTAGTACCGTAATCCTAGCATCTGGTGAGATCAATTATGCGGTCGTATCAACATCGATTATATACTATATACTCCATATCTTCTATCAGATCCCTTTTTAATTGGCAGAATTCCAAAGCGGGAAGGCTGTGTAGCTAGTAGTAGCGCAGTGTATCATAGCCCGTCTGGTACTATCCTGACCTTGACGAAGACAACTAACTGTACACAATGATCCTACAGTAACCACCGCAGGGCTATGACAACGACCGCAATTGAGATGGCTGGAATTCGGGCGGAGTTGTGATGAAGCTCTTCCAGAAGAAAGTCGACAACACCGTCACCTGACTTCGCCACCACTACATTCCGCAAGGATCGTTGGCTGTAATGATTGGAATTTAATTGTATAAGTATATGAACTCGTCCAGTCGACGGGTCATCCTATTCCGTTATAAGAGTAACCTCTGTTTTTATGGGGCAGAGGTTATGGTAACTAGATAGGAATCATATGTGCAGTAAGAATAGTTTGGGTAGGAAAGGAATAGAAATCTTACTTGAGGAATGGAGTGTCAAGTTCCATCCGAACAATGTCCTTCCTCCGCCGCTTTTTTGTCATTGTGCCACATTCCGTAGTCCATACGTCTGCCTGTACTCGCCATCCTTTGTCAGTTACTGGAATAAAAAATTTGGTTGAAGAAGCAAACATGTAAAGGCGAATGAACAACTTCAGTTTGTAGATCAGTCCCGTGGTCTCACGGATGCGGTAATGATTCTTTTTGGCCCCGCGGTTTTCGGAAATAAATCCAATTGTGTTAGGACACTCAGTCTTGTAAAGATTAAGATAGCCTGCAGAGAAAGAGGTAATGATCAGTACAGGGCTACGGGAATCTCTTCTCCTGACGCTAAGTTCCCTCTCAGGTGGCTTTGGATTGTGCTCAAGCCCTTCTCAATCTTTCTTACCGTATTCTGGATATTAAAAGTTGCTTACCAAAGAATCCATAGCATTCGGCAACGGGTAACTGACCAACAGACTTCGTCTCGTAGTAACGTTGAGGCATATCCTTATTCTCAATCATAACTCGGCCGTCGTAACCAATGAAAACCTTGAAAATTGTGATTTCGCACAAGCTGGTAATGTGCAGCCCTACAGTGATAATCGATTGTGGAAAAAGGAAGCAGTTGCGATTGTGGTCTCGAGACCCTTAGATAGTTGTTGCACCCCAATGTTTCTCATTTTCCGTGAGGTTGCTTGGGAATTCATGAAAACAAAGAATAGGATAGGCTTTCTCAAACAAGTTCGTTAGGATGCGCGCCACAATAGATCTCCGCACACTTTCGTAGAGCTACTAGGAGCGTGCGAGATTCTGCCCTTGAGGCTCATTCCCAATCACTGTGCATACTTAGAAAGTTCGAAGTCATGAAATCGACTCGGAAGAGATGTCTAGTCTACTTGACCAAAAGCGGAGTTTTTCTAAGACCTCATCATTTCCATAATTTCTCAAAGTGCCAAAATTCAAATAATTGTTGTCAAACCTTGAGAGCATTCTTGATTTCTGGCGATTCGAGTTCTTGGACTTTATCGAGGAGATAGATGACCAGGCCGGTCCTGTCGTCTATGTTGATTTCATGCTTTGTTCGTTTCGTCATAAAGTGCACCTAAATGGATCGCCATAAATGGAGATACACAGCGTGCAATTCTAAAGCTCAACAGCTAAACATGCTGTCATGACGCTCCAAAAAAGTCATTTATTTTCAGCCATCAGAATTTGAATACAATTCTCTGGGCATCGAGATCGCCTCTTCTGTCCGTATAGCAATGACGAGATGGACACATTGGATTAGAAATAGCTAGGAAAATCTCTCAAGGGTTAAAAAACAACTCTTCCACATACCTTTCCCTCGACATGTTGAGAATTCGGGAAAAGCGGAGGGGGCGTCTGGGAAAGCAGCAGTGCTGCAGGATGTCCCAGAAATACAGCACCTCTCCTAGACCGAACCACTGTCGACAACATATCCTGTGAAGTGGCGAATTCGACAGCTCGCCATTGAGATAGCGAGAATTTTGGTTCGTTCTGTAAAACCGTACTCAGTCACGGTTTTATACCTATGTTGAACGCAAACTTGAGCAGAAAAAGAAACTGTAGAGGAGAAGAAATGATGGGTTTGGTTTTATCCCCGTTTCCGACAGAGTATGGCAGAGCTCGCAACAAGGGCATTCTGAGTACTAGAGAAGGGACTGTAGCTATTTTGGAACTGTTATGTTGGGCAATCCTCGGCTAATCTCTTACTGCCCAAATGTGCCACTGAGCAAGCCGCCGTGTCTAACAAACAAAGACCTCCAAAGACTACGGTGTTCAGAAGAGTTGGACTCTTTTCAAGTGATCTGGGCTTAACTGGCATGCCACATACGCAGTCTCATCAACCCATGATGTTGATTTGGCACAGAAGAAGAGTCAATCGAAATCTATTCGTTATGGTAATTATGCTGCAAATCGAAGTAGACCAACCTTTACTATCACTGGCTGTACAGGTATTCGTTGGATGATTTCCCGATGCCGAGGTAACAAATCATACAGTACTCGATTCTTTGTTGCGAGCCGACGTATCTCCACTACTGATGCCCAGTCTATGTCCTGAAAAGAACCGTCGTATTATTTATTAATTATTAATAATTTCAAGAAAATCGAAAAGGGAGAAAGTATCGCAGACACTTTCTGCCCTAGGTTAATTCGCTATGCCATCGTTCAATAGCCCTTATTCTTCTCTTCTTTCAATAGAATTTCATTCATATAAGGAAATGCCGATCTACAAGTGCATCTCACAAAAAAGACATCCATCAAAAAAGCTCTGTCACGTACTGCTACAAATTGCAATTCTTGGACGCTTTTGTTCAATGGATACCAGAATTACATAAGTTGGGCTATTCCTCAAAAAGTTTCAGATGATCCGGTGATTCATTTATGTACATTCGCTGCTTGGGTTCCTTCAGAACTTGATGGTACCCCCGATCGAAACATGCAGATGTAATTTCTAGGTAAGAATCATTCAAATCAGCTCCTTACAACAGATCTGTAAAGAGCTCCAGGAAGTATATAACTACTGTTATAAATGGTTCCCTGATCGAGTTTCGATCTTGGTTTCCAGAATACGTGAACATTATCGCTATAAGATTCCAATTGCATTAGTTCCAGTGAGTATAACCCAACGATAGGCACGGTCTAGACACTTGACTTGATTCAGAATCTCGGTCACTTCTCAGTTTTGAAGGAGTAAACACCGACTTCCAAATCCGTTGAACTTTGATCCCAGATGGCCACTTTTTCAGGTAGAAGACGTTTCGGAATAATTCTAAGAAACTTCAAACTTTTATTCTGCCTTGAGAGCTCACCGTATCGTCTTCATCGCTCCATATCAATAGTGATACGGCTTTATCCATCCCTAACAGCCACAACAACTGCTCCTTGGAATTTGAGACCTGGAAACAGTAAAGTGGGGCAAGTGGCAATCGAAAATAGTCTATTTCCGATACTATTCCAGTACTTACCACTGATAGGCGGACGGACAGCATCACCGGCTGATCAAGACGAGCGATATATTCGAGAATTTGAAACAGTTGACTCCATGTGAGCCTGGAAAAGGAAAAAGTGAAGGGTTGAAGGTCTCAACAGTAACGAGGTCTGTCGTGATGAGCTATGTGATGCATTTCCTCACGATTGTTCGTTGGAGGAAAAACCGGGCGAAAAACAACGAAAGGTTACTTTGGGTAAAAGATCCTCGAACTGAATTTCTGAATTTTCTTTGCCTGACTGTGGATCCTGGTTCGAATGGCTTTGTAATGCAACGCAGCCAGCTCTTTCCGGCGATTGGCCAGCCTATCAGCTCCTACTTCTTACTCAGAGTCTCTTTTCGATGCGTCTTATATCCGCTGGGGTAAGGATATGCGCTTCTGGATAAGGTTATGGAATGACATCGGTTGTACGTGAAGTTCCTCGTTCATTGACTTTAACTCCACTACAAGTTTATGGCAAAAACTTAATCTCCGTAGTGCATTTGACATTCCGATGGGAACGTTAAATTCAAATGTGCCATGAATCACGCGAGTGCGAGCAAATCTTTTACAGTTGTCTCGCGGCATCAAGCTACCGCGTGACAACTGTCAAAGATTTGCCTCGCGCTTGCTCATTTTTCGGAATCGTAATCGAATGAAACGCTCCGCGCTTCTCCAGCTTTTTTACGCGATCCCTTTTTTACGAACTCTTCTATCATTGCTATGGACCAGCGACTTTTTTACTCATTGCATCTTGTTATTCAAAAACATGCCGTATTCACCACATTGCTTTGTAAAACAGTCAGTTGAAGGGGATCAGAGGAGTAGTCGAGCTTAAGTTGAAATAGCAAGCTCAAAAGATGGAATTTTTTGACGCTTCAATTATGCTTTCGGGACGCACCCTCATGTCATCATGCATTCACAACAAAGGAAGCGCTTGAACGCGGTTTTAGTAATCAGCAGCTGGGGTTCAAGATGATGCTTTTATATTTCCAGACAAGAGAAGCACCCAAGAATGAGGCTTTTTATCCATCTCGTTTAAGATTTCCTTTACGAGCTCGTTGTGATTTCATCAAACAGCGTTGGTAACTCACCGTTTATACTTCGAACTCAGGAGGGAATAATTCGACTGTTTCGTCCAACCAAGCGAAAGTGTGGCATCTGGAAAGAGGCGACGTGCTCGGTCCACGAAGGACGAGGGATCGACGACATTCTGAAGCAATCGTCTAGAGAGATGCTGGTTTCTAATAAGTTTAGGTTTGCACTAAAACAGCATCCACCAACCTCAATGCTTCTTGCTGAACGAAAGACATTAGCATGAAGTATGACAGGGTACTGTAGAACTGGTGCTAGAGGATCTGCTTGAGACGCATAAAGATACTGTAGCACTGGCCGTATCACTTCGGTCGAACGAAAATTGATTTTGATCGCTACAATAGTGTGGATAAAGATCGGTTTAGTAGTGATACCAGTCAATTGGAAATGATCACTGTCGCTAAGGAAATTGCAAAGCTTTCGATCACTCACATCACATACGGGCTAAAGATGGATGGCTTCAACGTTCAGTACTGGTCGGTAAACTTTATGGAGCTGGATTATTATCAGAAAAATCGCTTGCAGCCGTGTATAGGGCTGTTGAACGTGAAAACATTAATCTTAGTGAGTTGGGATTTGCTAAAGCTCATCTATCGGTGCTCAGATCTACGATCCAAGACAGTTGGCACTCAAGCACCTCTTCTGAGTCACAGAGAGGCGGGTTTGCTATTTAGATGTATCAGCTGATTCCATTTACAACAAACGCGCTTCACTCTGAATAATATATAATACAAGGCCACTGAACACTTCCAAAACAAAGCCCCTCGTAGGTCATGAATTCTGATAATAACCAAAATTTTACTCATTACAAACTGTACCTTCTGATTTCGGAAAAATGCTCTTAAAGATCCCTCAATCATTCATCAATGAGCACATATGAACGACCATTATAGAAGTGTTCCCTTCTCATTAATGATGTATGTATGGATTCCCGGTGAAGCTTCTCTTGAATGATTTCATGAAACCTCTAGACCTCATTGGCAACTCTCCAGTGCCTGGAGACTATTGTAAAATTCTCAGCATTGTATTATGACTATCAATGATAATGTTTGCTAATAGCGATAAACCTTATCTCCATTATGCATAACATTTCCATGCCAATCTACTCTATCTTTGGAAACTAGTCAACGATACAATTTTCGAAGCATGCCGTTTGTTTTAAGGGACTTTTCGAGGAGTCGAACCGTATCTGTCTGACTAGGCATTTTCAGTTTCAGTACTGATAGCAATCTCGAAACGATCGTTCCTGACAGATATGGTTCGACTTCTCGCAGTAGTCTGTGTCGCTTACAGCTTGGACAGCGGGTACAAGAACCTTTCGGCAGTGCATTTTTCAAATTTTTGCTGGCATCGAGGCTGCCTCGATAGAGTTATGCTAAGTTGATTGAAATACCAGGAGGAGAAGAGACGGTTATGCCCGGGTCATGAAAATTCTCTATGAATCGATGGGGATGGGAAAATTATAGTTTGGAATTCTTCATTTCTGAACGTTTTTTCAAAAGCCAAGTGAAGCAGATCGTCTCTGAACAAGTGGATCAGTCTGTAAAGTGATACCCCTTGTCGTCCTACCCTTTGCCCATTGACCTGACAGCGTAATTGATGGGCAAGACGGACTGTTTGCAAACGCACTAAGGGAATCCATAATCAATCATTTCTTTTAGCCCGATCTGAATATTAGACACGGCGACGGCGGATTGACACATCTATGTCATTACACCACCGCCTGCGGTTTCGACCAATCGGTATATGATTGATGAGAGCTGGCTGTACTGTGTATTGAGGGCTGTCTGTCTGTATGTTCCTACTGACCTTTTCGCAAGTTCGCCACCTCACGAAGCCATTCTTTGAACGTAATTCGGTCGGCAGTTCTGGCATCTGCTCTCATCACCGGTATGGCACGGTGTCGTGGCCGTCGTCCGGTCTGCAGGAATACGTCTCCTTCGATTAGCATCGATTTGTTGAGAAATGGCTCTGAAAAATGTCGGATTTCACGGATTCTTGGAAACGAACACAGTCTAATGAGAGGGTTGGAGCGAGCTAAAGGCCACCCTGGTCGCACAATCGCGGAAGCCACGCAATTAACGACCTCCCGCTCAGCGGTACCGTCAAAGGAAACGGCTTGCTTTTTCGGTTGATTGGCGTTTAACGACCTGAGCGGAATCTTTCCAAAAACACTTGGAAACTGCATTATAGATGAGTATCCCGCAAATTTCTTTTATGGAGTTTTTCGTCAGGTTTGAGGAGCTTTAACTAAGAAAATTAACTGAAATATCTTCTTGCTGAGAGATTGTGGGTGTCATGTTAAGATTCCTGCAAAGGTGGTTTTTTTAGCGAAGGGCAGTCGTTTGGAGGAACAAAGTGGGAAAGGATAAAACAAAATATAGCAGTAATTGGAAGGAGCTGAATTTTGCTCATATTATTTTTCCTCAACCAAAAGCAAAAAGTAATGGCTCGAAGACTACCCTAGTCATGCTATTCTTCTCAAAATGCCAGAGCGAGAAGGGAATCGTACTTCCTTGACTTTCTATGGCGAGTCTTGGTCACTACAGTATCCAAATAAGTATTTAACTCAGAGATAGAGATAATGTTTTCTGCATCGTTCAGCTGCTCTTAAAATGAGCTCTTGCATCAAACTCCCAATTAAGACGGTAGAAGTGTTCAAATGCTACGCGACTTGTACAATGATTTGCTTAGGCGAATTGATTACACGCTGAGGCCGACTGATACTCAAAGTAGTGTTTTTGATCACTCTGATATGAGCCAAATCTGATACCGAAAAAGGATCCTTGAGGGATGGAAAGTTCGGTTGACTTAGGCAAGCATCGATCTGGGTTTGAATTCGTATACCAGGGGCTACACTCCAACTCCATCCGAAGCAATACTGGCCAGACCAGTTGCCATTCTCTCCCAGATTCACTAAGGACAGCTTTGGTGTGTGCAGAAAGGTGTTTTCCTCCGTTAAACAGCATGAGGACTTCGCTGTGCCTAAAGATTGTTAATACCAATCCCTAAAATTGAAGAATCTAGCCTCAACTTTCATTTGAACGAAGTGCTATTTGGGTCGGAGATACAAGATATCAAGCTACTACGTTACCAGCTCGCAATGACTAAGCTTGTCCGCAACTTTGTCTTGTGCATTGTCTACAGAGTCAGAATTTAACCCCAACCTCTTGTTCCCTCTTCATTATCTCGTAAAGACCTACCATGTAATTGATCGACGAGATCCGGCCAACTATTCACTCCATGTGCAACTCGAATATTAAAACCATCGCCAAGGGTTTCATTTTTCCAAAAATCCACCACTGACATCCTCGTGGCACGCATTTCTCGGCCCACATCACCTGAAAAGGCGCTACCGGTATCTTATCCAGCCAAAGAGATTCATTATTTGTGCTTGTTATTACTATCAACATGTTTCTTTAATGTGATCTTCTGTCACTTCTCAGATATACTCGTTCATGTCGCAATTAAATATTTCAGAAGGTGTGACCCCTCAAAAAATAGAAGAAGAGGAAATTGGAACATTTGTAGCGGAAGTCCTCGGTTTACAAAGCTCCTTAACAAACCAGTAATTGATTTTTTCTAATTGATACTAGAAAAACTGTTGAAAAATGGGTTTATACTAGAAAATTTGGGACACCCTGGCTTGAAAAAATTACAGTGTTCTACACCAACCAATGTGTCTCTCTACCGCATTTCCACTATGTTGACTATCACCCTACTCATACTCTTTTCATTCTTTGCCTTTGCTTTTCTTTGTTTTCTTATTTTTTTCTTCCTTAGTAATTAACTCCTTTTAATTCTATTTCTTTGATCACTACACTTCATGCAGGAGTGAAGCCGTGGGAACGGCTGTTGACATCCCTAGTTGCATAGCATGTATACCTTTTTCTGTAATTTCCTTAATTATTACTCGATTTCATTGCATTCTACTTCCCCTCGCGGTAACCTTGGCGAAGGAAAGCGGATAGGTAGCAAAGGCTTATCAACCCACTAATAGGCTCTTCTTTCGATTCCTTCTTTTTTTGACTGAACATCAAGGACTAGAAGAACGACAGAGCAATGATTTCGATATTGGGTGCAGAGTTCTAGCTCAAGAAAATGAGATTGCTGCCAGAGAGATACTGGAAGCGCTGCGCATCCGCAAGAAGAAATCTAAAGCTGAACAATCGAAATGAGTGCATTGCCGACAGAAAAGAGCTTTTTTCATTCATTCCTTTCTGTAGGCTTTGAGATCAACGCATGATTCTTATCCAACGACCGTCCATGGTGTCTCATTGGTCCCTTATTGTTCACGTAATAGAGTGGGACGGCAATGGAGGTGGAACCGCAGAAGGTTGGTTTCGTGTCTAGGATCTTTTGGTGTTCGAGTTTCTGGGAGCTGTTGCACTGGGCTGGGGCTTTTGGAGCTTTGATCGGGTAAGTTACTCATCAAGAGCTCCGAACTATTTGGAGACAACTAGTTCACAACGTTGACCAAATGAAGCGGTCTTATCACAACGAATCTATAAATCGAAGCAGTAGCAGCAGGTGGAACATCCTTCAAGATCCCAACTTTGAAGAGGATTACCAAAAAACCTCCCTTTTCCCCTTTCTTCTCCCTCCCTTCTTCGAACTACCATATTCAGCAATGATTTCCACTATCATTCAAATGACGCGATGAAGAATGAGTCTCAATACAAGTCTCAACGATCGCTATATCTCACGTCAGACCTATCCCTATTAATATCATCGTGAACGTATGGATTTATAGATGGTGGGATGTTGTCCAGCACAATTAACTTCAGAATGAGCCGCTTAGTAACAGTTTAGGCTTCAAAGTGACGGCCTAATTAGGCTACGAGCTAAAGACGTCAAATTTGCGTGTGTGGGTGTGGGTGATGAACTAATTTCGTTCTGTAGGTCCATGCGGTGCATTACCCTCGGCAAGCCGACAAAGACGGTGGCAGGAAGATCCGTGCGTCGCCAGATCTAATTGCTGGCGATTGTCTTTAGCAGGCTGGCCTAGCGGATTAGCGACAGCTGAGGAGGGCAGACAGATGAGATCGTCGTGGATGCAAGCATTGACTCGGTAAAGGTGGAGGACGGCATAGCAAGGAATAGCACAGCAGGTTCCCACGACAAGGACCGATGGTGGAGACCGATTCCTTAGAATAGAGATCTGGGAACTGGGATACATCCTGCAAAGCTCGTATACTGGCAGAGGTAATTTATAAAATTCGTTGGGAGAGAAGTTATTCTTTGTGGTTTTATGAAAGTGTTTTCATGATTGAAGCTGCAGGTTCACTGGAAGGTTCGTACTTCTTGGTGACCCTCAGAGGGATTACAACTCCCAGGGTACGCAAAGAACCTCTTTTTTGCCTGGACCCCTCATCGAAGGTCACTTTAGTAGCGAAATAGCTTGAAAACCCGAGAGGTTGAATCTTTGGACGAAGCTATGCGGGTGTTCCCTTTTGAAAACATGAACAGAAACAATTTTGAATAAACCGGAAAATGAGAAAGGTTTGCCGATCTTTTTTTGTTTCCCCAATATTCCCCTAATGAAATGTGAAGGGAAGTCATTTGGCAGATTCATATCTCGCAATGAAAACAACGCCGCCATGGCTTGATGCATTTAGCACGGAATGAACAAAGCTGATCAGCTTCGATAAAGCCTTTCTAGCTTTGCAATCTGTTTTCATGCAGATTCAAATGAGCATCTGAACGAGGGTCGTATACGACAAGGAGTTACGGGGACAGGCCGCTGGTAGAGTTGATGCCGTTGTGTCCCCAGATATGCCGTTCATAAACTGGCCAGCACTGGAAGGCTGATGTGCAAGGTTGCCCTCTGCAGGTTTGAGTGCCCATTTGCAGGATGATTCCCATCCGGAATGAGCGTTCCTAGAGGGCATTCCCGTGAAGATAAACCGGTCATTTCTCATATTTACTGCCAGAAAAGCGGCGACATGTTGCTTCCTCCAGGTTCCCACTTCATTTTTTGTTTTTCTTAATATTTTCTTACGATCTCCTAATTTTCGTTTCACAACGAGGCACTTGAAAACTACTGGTTCCATCCCGGAGCTGATTAAACGTAGAGTTATGGATTACCCGAAAAAGAGTCACAGTAGGCCAGCTCGATTCCCGAGCGGTGTTTATGGCAGTTGTTGCACGACCTTTGTTCGGCTAATTGGATCGCCAATGCATTTCTGGGATTTGTTTTGGATTCGTGATTTAATTGACTTTTCAAAAGGATGGCTACAGTGACTATGAGCTCAAATCGTTTTTGTTAATTAAAATCGTAAAAGTCTGGAGGATAGTGGGTAAGGCCTAATTTCTGTGTATTGCTGGTCCCGTAGCAGAAGCTAACCGTAGAACTCACACACTTGAAAATTTGCCAACGCTCATGTGACCCCCAGATGATCGTGTACCAAGTTGAGCTTTCCATACTGGAAAAGCTGTCGAATGGGGAAAAGGAGAGCTTTTCCATTTTTATGATTTACACCCCAGCTTGCAGAAGCAGCCATCGTTTGCGCCCACTACACATAGTTGGCAGCAGCTCTCAGAAAAAACTACCTAGTAAAAGAAATATTTCACCTAGCAACGATAGTGGTGACAAGAAAAGAACCTCGTAGCAGTTGATTTTATGTAATGGCATGTCGGATCTATAAATTTTGCTACTGCCATACCTCCAAATTCTAAGACCATTTCTTGGCTATTTCTCCAAAACCCTGTCATTCCTTCTCAATCCTGACCCTCTTGAACCTTTGCCAAGTCGGCGTAGCACCAACTTGCAGGAACTCGCAGGGGTAAGCTGTATGAGATGTGCTTCGGCTAGTGAGCCAAGAAGGAAGGTAGGGAGGCTGTTCCCCGTTTATGCGGTTCATTTGCTAGTCTGTTGATTTACCAAACTTCTTTACATTGTTACACTGTACGTCTTCTCCATAAATGAAGCGGTGAGCGATTTCGCGTAACAGAGAACTTACTGGTATTTTATGGCTGCATAAAAAAAGATTTACTCAGTTGTGCCAATATTTGCGGCATCGTTGGAAACCAGTTAGACTACATTTTCAAGGTCGTTCATCAATTACAGAGGCTACTTATGTCAGATCAACAAAGCTTCCCAATAGTTGTCTTGATAGTTTGTTTTCTAGGGAATTCTAAGGAACACGGGTGGGAACTGTAGGCTGGGGTCGAACGAACGTCCTCAATAGCTTATGGGCATTAAAGACCTCAAATTTCCGCTCTCATTTGGCACCATCTCCCAGAGTCCCGCTTAATGGTCAGACCTTTCGACCAATCTGCGGGACTATAGAATTGATGGACCTGGACTTTGAGAAGCGATCCATCAACTCGTTCCGAACGTTGTTCGAGAGGTTCGACTGCCAATAAATATTTCGTAAAAAAATTAGAAAAAAAACGACTACTGCAATACTCCTTTTCGGATGCTAACTCCTTTGCTACTAATCATAAAACCCAGTATAATCAATACTGGTCTCATATACATGGTAAATGTGTTCATACCACCCAATGGTAGATGGTTCTATCTTGGCGGTTCACACAGCCTGCTTTAGGTGTTCGAAGGATAGTTGGTAAGGCGTTTAGAGAATTCCATACGGGGAGTATTCGGCTGTTTTCTGACGCTTCTCACTCTTCAAAGAAAAAGGAAAGGAAATGAATTTCAGAAAGACAAATATGGGAAGATGTTAAATATTGCACATTTGCACCCATTGATTTCCTTTTTTAACCTTGTGGAAACGCTTAGTAACCACGTCTTCCGGATTAGAAGTACAAACGCAAGTTCATTCAGAAAGACATTCTGGGCAATTGATTCTTATGGAGTAAGTACAACGGAGCTAGAATGTCCTTGCAGTCCAAAAAAAAAATTCTGATATAACTAATTCTAAAACGCTGACCTAGTCGATCACTCTCTATAGCATTCCTTATACCAAAC